CTCTCCTCTCTCCTCTTTTTTCCACCCCCCTCCCTTCCCCAGGCTCCCCATTTCTTCACACCCATTGAAACATCCCTCCACACCAATGGAAATGGCAAAGACACCCTCAGGAGCTTTCACCTTTAGTACTTCAGCCCCATATAGGGCTGCACCGGAGGCAGAAGGTGCTGCAATTTCCCCCATTCCCCCACTACCTGCACCTGTTTGCTTGGGTCACAGCCAGAACAGCGACATTTATTATTATTATTATTATTATTATTATTATTATTATTATTATTATTCCTTTTTAATTTTGCAGCCAGCCAAATGCTGCAGAACCCAGAGGTGAAGCAGCCGGGCCAAACCCTGCCCTGTGTTATGGAAATCGCGGCTGCCACCCGGCAGATGCGGGCTGAGGAAATAATGCGGCTGTTGAGCCGACACAGAGGAGGAGAGGGGAGCTTTTGTCTGGCACTCGCCGGGGTTGGAGAACACTTGTCGAGCAACAACTGGAGCTCATTGAAAAGAAGTGGAGGTTATTAGGAGCGTTTCGCTCGATGCCGATGGCCCCGTAATTTTTCCCTTCAGATGCCAGGCAGAATCTGTGGGGCTGGGAGGGAGAAGAGAGATACCACCTGACAGCACGCTGATGGTGGAGAGAATAAATAGGGCTGGAAGCAGCCGGCAGGGCTCTGGCAGCTCAGACCCCGTGTTTTAAGGGTGCTTTGCCTTCCCCAGGGTAACTGGGGCAGTACAATGATCAGCTGGCCTGGGAGACATCCATCCATCCCTCTATCTACCCGCCTATCTCTCCCTCTGTCTCGATGCACGACCCTCCAGCCTCCTTTCTCTGCTCTGAAATAAAAAGCAGCGATCCCCTTTCCGAAGCCAGGAACGAAATGAATGCCTTCTCTCCCTAATTCAGGTAGCTCCTCATAAATCTTCCCAGCTTCAGCATGGTCTCCTAGGACTCCTGGGGCAGTTGGGAACCTATGTAATCAGCTCGGATGATCAGCACTGTTTGTCGCTCTCCAGTTGCCGAAAAGCCCTTTGAACCCTTTGTGTCTTTATTGAATGATCCCAGAGTCCCCTGACGATTTTGCCAGTCTGGCCCATTCTGCACGCCAGCTCCTGGGTTAATAACCCACTGAAATCCCGCAGTGAGTGCGGAGGATGGGGAGAGCCACGGCCCTGCTGCCAAGCCTCTTATCACAGCATCTTCCCATGTCTCCTCCTCGGTGCTCCCACACGCTGCAGATTTCCATGAAAACACAAAACGTGGCCAGCAAGTAGGGCTCAGAGCCAGCATGAGAATATCCAGGGAATGATACACCTGGTGCTGAGAGAAGAGAGCTAAAAGTCCCCTTGGGGAGACTCAACAGGGGCTGGGGCAGACGAAAAGTCACAACATCCATGGGTGAATGCGTTTATTTTTAGTACATTTTAGTGCTTTTTTGGTTTCAGTTGGTCAGGAACCAAGCTGAGGGATGGCGGCTGCTGGCAGAGGTTTGCTGTGATGCTGAGCCCTTTGGGAGCACTGCTCAGGTTGCAGCCTGCTGGAAGCAAATCCAAACCTGTCCAAACCCAGGAAGATTCCTTCCATCAGGGAAATGCTCAGCTGTCATCTTTATAAATCGTTTGAGTTGGAAGGGACTCTTAAAGGTCACCTGGTCCAACTCCCCCGCCATGAACAGGGAGAGCCATGCCCACCTTCAATGGACAGGTCTCTTAGGCTGAAGTTTTGCTGGCAATGTTTGCCATCTGCCCCAGCATCCCCAATAATCCCATGGTGATCACCAGCCAGATCTGCACCTCTTCTCCACCCAGTTCTCCCCAGAGGCGTTGTTGGTGTTTCTCCTCCTGAAGGATGCAGCTCTCCATACCTCACAAGTTAGTGTGGACCTCCACCAAGACAGGCAAAGTAACCTAATCTATGAGCGCATTAGGGTGTTGGAAAACAATAATCCAAGAAGGAAACACATTATCTGTCCTTGTTACTTTACAAAGTAATTTAAAATAATTTTTCCCTAGAGTGGTTAGGGAGCACAGCAACTCGCCCTTGCCTATTCTCTCCGGCTAATGAAGCTTTACCAGAGACTGCTCGTGAATTCCTATTAAGACCTCATCTTAGAGGTTACAGGGCAAAGCAATTTCTGCTCCTGGGAAAGATGCCTATGAATTTGTAATTGTAAGGCCGTGTTTGATAGGGATTAGCATCTGAAAGGGGTAGAGTGGTGGGTAGCAGAGAAAACATTATTTCAATTAGCAGAAGAAAAGCAACTTAACATCTGATTATAGTTTACAGTTTCAATTTTCTCCTATTTTGGCATTTGGGATAATTATTTCCTGAAATCATCCACACCCACCAAGCAGCCAACTCTGCCTTTCTTTTCCTCCTGGTCATGTTGGTAGTGATTGACATGGGAATGGCTGATGAGCTGGCTTTGTTCCTTTCTGTTCTTCTCCCAGGCAATAGCCAGACTCAAGCAATGTGGGGATGGAGGGGAGGATGCTGTGGCAAGCCTGACTAAAATGAGATGAGCTGTTTCCCATCATGCCCAGGAGGTGTAGGACGTGGTGGAGCTTTGCTCAGCTGTTGGGTTCAAGGCTGGTGTAGTGGTCAGCAGCATGGCACAGTGCTAATGCCCTTCGCTCCCACTCACAAAATGGTGCAACTGGGAAAACGTTTAAGGAGACTGGAAATGCCCTGGGACACCTAATGCTCAGATCTTTCCTCTGCACTCAGGAATTGCCTCTCATCACTCATTTACTTTCCTCCCAGCCTACAGAGGCAGATGCCTTTTGCTCTGTATGGACTTGCCACAACCCACGGTCCTGCTGCTTTTCTCTGCCTTATTGGTCTCTTGCTTCCTAATGGCGATGCAATCGGTTTTCAGGCTGGAGATTCCTCGTAAGAAGGCATGTTGTTATTTAAGGAAGATCACGAAATCCATCCTTAATGAAAGGACGGGAGAAACCCTTTCTACCAAGTTACGCTGAAGCCTGAGATTATCATTTTTATGGGCTTCCAATCTCTCCAGCCTTGTGTCTTATCAGCAAATGCAGCTGGAGGCTTCAAAATACTCCCAGCTTGCTGCTGATTTTGTGGGATGAAGATTAGAGATGATCAGATAGTGAATTATTCATTCCACTTGATATCTCTGGGCAGGAGGGAATATCCAAGCAAAAGTCAGCTCCCTCCTAGCTGTCTGAGCATCTCCTGCTCTTCCAGGGAAGAGCAGAGGCAAGGGGCCAGGCTGACATGAACACAGAGCCAGAGCCTCAGAGCCATTGGCCCCACCAGCCTCCTTCACCTGGTGGGCAGAGAAGCAGCAGCAATGGTTTAAAAATGAATGAAGGTAGATTTACATTGGATGTAAGGAAATTTGTCACGATGAGGGTCGTGAGGGAATGGAACAGGTTCCTTGGGGAAGCTGTGGATGTTCCATCAATGGAAATGTTCAAAGCTGAGCTGGATGTGGCTTTGAGGTCTAGTGGCAGGTGTCCCTGCTTATGGTAGAGGGATGGATTAGGTGGTCTTTAAGGTCCCTTTCAACCCAATGATTTTGTTATCTCAGAGGAAAATGAAGAGAGTAGCACAGCCCTAGAGTGGATGAAGGGTCACAGACACAATACCAATGTTAGGGACCACCTACCAGCTCTTGTGGGACCTCTTTGAGCCATGTAATAAAGCACAGGGTGGGGTGAAGGCCCCGTGGAACACGTTGGGGCAGCCATGCTCTACTGCATGACGGCAGCTGGGTGCCAGCACCGGTTATTACACAGTCCAATTGGACATTGTTTCATGAAATTCCTCTGGGGGGTGGTGGCTCTGGATGTCCCTTGTCCTTCTCCATGCTTCCCAGACCTTGCACAACCCTTCTGCCAAGTGACTCTGCCACTGAATAACTGGCCAAGGAAATAGCTCACCCATTGCAGGAGGGGAACGTCCTGCCAGCCCTGACTTGACCCTGCTGGGGAGTCTGGGCAAAAACCCACGTTTTCAATGGAAGAAAAAATATATATTTTTTTATTTTTGCACTGTTCAGGCTTGCTTTTATCTACTTTATCTATTTATTTATTTCTTTATTTTTATGTCTCTTTCTGGTGAAGTGGGGGGGAGATGGGGTGGATGAAACAGGGGAGGAGGGTGAGAGGGAGGAAGGAAATGAAGGAAAAACAACCCAACCTCCGTACAAACACTGAAGCCCACAACGTTTCTCAAAGAGGAACTGGCATCTGCTCTGAGCCGTATCACCCAGGAACACATTTTAGACTCAGGAATGTGCTCTGAGCCAATGTTAATTTTGGTTAAAAAGAAGAAAAAAAAAAAAAGAGGAAGAAATGTCAGGTTTTTTTTTGAGGATATCAACATAATCCTGAAATGCCAAGACCTGGATTTGTCCAAGACCCGTTCTATGGGAAACAGCTCCTAAGAGTCCCTTGGAGAGAGCTGGGCTGGGGCTCAGTGCTGCAGACAGAACTGCCCTTCTCTGCCTCAGTTTCCCCCTTCAGTAAAATGTCTCCAAAAGGGTTTGCTCTGCCACATCCCTGTGCTGCTGAGAGCATAAATGTGAGGGATGGCAACACATCCAAAGTGCTGCAGTGGGAACTTGTAGCTTTTGGTCTCTGCTTTGCATGCTTCCACTGCGAGAATTCCACACGCTTCCACTCCTTCCACAAAAGGACGAAGTGGTGGCAAATTATTTGCTGAAATTTCTGATCTTGTCCCTACAATAAACCCATTGCCATTGCTGTTCCTCATCCCCCCCAGGCCTGGCTGAGTGACGTGCAGCCAAGCAGGTGCCACTGGGCCCTTTGGCCACAGTTGTGCATACCTCCCCAATAGCTGCCATAGGCTCAGCAGATGCCTGGGAGCAGAGAAGAGCTTTGAGATAAGCAAAGGAATGAGTCCCTGCCCTCATGGCCAAGGGCAGAAGAAGAAGAACCCTGCCTTAAGATTCTTCTTTCTTTGGAAATCAGCCCTGCTGTCCCTGGGGCTGAGCTGAGCAGAGAAGATGGGAAGAAGTCCCCGAGTGTGGAGGGGCTGAGAGCGATGCGGATGCAGGGTGGGCAGCAATAGGTGGCAGATGTCACAGGTGCTGCACTTGCTAAAGACAGACCCAGGACTGGGTGTTGGTGAAGCTTTCTGCTGAAGGCAGGCTTTTTTCTTTTCTTTTTTTTTTTTTCCTTGTGAGGTTGTGCTAAGGAATAAGCAGCCAAGAGCACAAGACCTGCGTTCTTCTTTGGAATGGATAACATGCAAATATGTTGCTGGGAAACCAAAGGTCACTCTCATTATTATTTCTTCCTAAGCCAGCTCATCCCTTTTGGTTTGTAACAGCATTGCTTTTAAAGGGACAGACTATAGGCAGGTCCTTCCCAGGTGCATGGAGAGAGTTCCCTCCTTGGAGAGACCTTTCCCTGCATGAGCAAAGCTGGTGGGGCTGAGGCGGAGTCCACCTTGTGCTGCATGGGGGATTGAGGCAGGGGGAGATGAGTGTGCAAAGGAACTCGGGGGAAAGCTGGGGGCTGGGCTTGTGCACCTCCATTTCCAGGATAAATGAGACTGCTTGAGGTCTGGGGAAAGCAGGGGAATGAAGAGCAGGATGACAGCACTGCTGTCGTGTGTTTCTATCTCTTGTGGTGTCGGAAAAACTTCAGGATCAGCCCTGAAGGCTCAATAAAACCAACGCTCTGTGTATGATGTTTAATAGTCTATCTAGCAACGTCTGTTGCAGCAATCAGCAGTGAGGCCAGTTTAATAAAGGATGTTTCTAAGCCACAAATGTGTTTTCCCAGCTTGTTAATGACACTTGGTGCAAAGGACGGCAGCATTCCTCTCCTGCACCTGGCACTCCATTCCCCTGCTAAGCTGTGCTGTGTGTGGGATTCGTGCTCTGTGGGTGCTCCCCAGGACTCCAGTGCTGGGATGGGGCACAGGGGTGGGAAGGGGTTCCTAGGGGAGCCCCAACCCCTGCTCTGTGGGACAAGAGGTGCTGACGGGGAGCTCTCAGAGCTGAGATTTCAGCTCTCTGCTCGGCCACATTCCCCAAAGACCACAGCAGGGATTTACCGATGAGGGCGTTAGTTCTTCCTCCCGCACCCGTACAATCGCTGTCCGTGTATCTCGGCTCCCTTCCAAGCCCTAAGGGAACAGCCAGGTTCAAGTCACCTTGCCCCAAATTCCCCTTAATCCCTCTCTCTGGGGCGGAAGAAAGAGACACCTCCTCCACACCCTCCTCCCCTTCCCGGGGTCGGATTTGAATATCCAGGTGTGAGCTTCAGCCACCCTCGTTAACAAGTTTGATAATTTACCCGGCTCGTTCCTGCCGGAGGGATCTGAACGCAGCGCGGCTCCTCCCGACCCCGCAACGCCGTTCGCAGCCCCACCGCCCCGCATCGTAACCCCGCACCATGCCGGCCCTGCGGCTCCTCGCCCTCGGGCTCCTCCTGGCTCTGGAGCCCGCGAGCTGCCAGGAAGGTAAGAGCTCCATTCCTGGAGAAACCGAGGCACGAGGGGTAGGGGTGGCTTTTGGGACAGGAGAGTTGCTTAGGAACGGGAAAAATGCCTCTGTTCCCCCTGCAGCTCTGCCTTCCTATGTGAGCTCAGTGGTAGATCTGGCTGCAGATGGAACAGTCTTTACTTGTTTAGCTTGATGCCAGGTTACACTTTGATGCAGCAGCTCCAACTGATCCCCAGCACTTAAAGATAGGCGATGTGTTTTCTTACAAATTGCTTTCTTATTTGCTTCTGGAAGGCACTGCTCTGCTTCTCACTCTCAAAGTGGCAGGATTTGTTAATTTGTAGCTCTGATCCCTGTGGAGGTGGTAGGGCCAAATATTTTCCTCTGCAAATCATGCTTTCATTCCCTTCCTGGAGACTTAATAGAGAAACTTCCTATTGCTCTGACATTATTTTTACGAAACTTGGGACTTGTCTGACACTACAAATAATCAGGAGTAATTAAAACAAATCAGGTCCTGCCAAAGAGCTGGAAAATTCCCTCCCCCTTTCTCCTCCTGATGCTCTGGCCTTGACCGCTCTTCCTCTATTTGTTTACCAACTCGTGAAAGACTGAGCAGTGTGGGGTCTCCACTGTCAGCAGGATTGGATGTTTTGCTGCTGCCTTGAAAGGAAAAAAAGAAGAAGAAAAAAAAGCCTTTAGTGAAGTTTCAGAGCTGGCACAGCTTCCTCGGCCATAGCAAAGCACTGGCACAGCTGCCCAGGGAGGTGATGGGGTCACTCTCCCTGGAGGTGTTAGGAACCATAGGGATGTGGCACTGAGGGACGTGGTCAGTGGGCATGGTGGGGTGGGATTGGGGGTGGTGGTCTTAGAGGTCTTTTCCAATGTCTATGATTGTATGAAAGCTCAGGGGACAGCTGATGCCTTCTAAGCACTCAGGAAAGATGGCCCAGAAGTCCTGGATGTACCTTCAGACCAGCCTTGGAGCATGGAAACAGAGTTACAGCACATGAAAGGGCTTATTTTGGCACTGGTGTTTTCCCTCGTCTTGTTTGTAGCTGCAGATGGATGTGTGTGTGTCTGCCAGGGAGTGCAGAGTCTGCATCCCATGCTGGTTAGTTGGCTGAGGAATTCCTGCGTGATGGAAAAAATCATCATTACTATGGGCAGAAGGGAGATGAGATGGCAGGGATGCTCTAGGAGGGATGCCTCCATTAAAACCTTTTTTGGGAAGGGGTCTCTCATCCTCAGGGTCATGCACCTTGTTGAGCACTTTGCCTCTGCTCTGGTTTTCTGCTCATATTTGTGCACTGTGTTCTCGTAGCCCCTGGCACGAGGCTGTGAGGCTGCTCGAAGCCAGAAGTGCCCCATTCTTGTGTACTGCTCATCCCTTTAGCTCTAGGTGCTCTGAAATTGCATGGGAACAATGGTCTGAGGGAAGCTTTGCTCGCAAAACCTGTATCTCCTGAGCACAGCTGGCTGTGGGAGGTCTCCTACCATTTATCTTCTCACCTTCCCTCTTGGAAGACCAAGAGAAGAGAACTTGGAGGTTTTGGTCGCTGCTGAATGCCATAGATAAGTTGAGGTGGGAAGGGATCTCTGGAGGTAGCCTGCTCAGCCCCAGCAGAAACACCTATGACAGGGTGCCTAGGCCCAGCTCCAGGCAGCTTTTGAAGATCTCCAAGGAGAAATGTGCTCTGGTGCCCCATCACCTGCACAGCACAGAAGGACTTCCTGCTGTTTTGACAACAATCCATTCCCAAGCTGACCCTGAACTCCCTCAGTCCCATCACAAACCTCATTGCAGTCTGGAAACCATGGCCCCAGCAGGAAAATAAAACACAAATAATAAATAAATCTAGCAGAGATAACAGCCAAGGACTGAGCGAGGGAGGAAATGAAGCTGTCAGGCCCCCAGGGCAGGGGGAATGTTTGTCTTTGGGGCTGCACTGCAGGGCAGGAGCATCTCCTGCCCATTAGGTAGTGCAGGTGGTGACCAAGCCCTGCTCCCTCTGCCTGCTGCCACCCGTGTGGCACTGCTCAGCGCTGATCTGAGGGGCTGCAGTTGAGGCATGTGGGTACAAGAGGGAATTTCCGCCTGGATTCCTCCTGTCTGAGCGTTGATTCAAAGGCTTTGCTGTGAGCACATCTGCACAGGCAGGAGGAAGGGTGAGACAGCTGCCGGCAGCACAGGCAGCGTGCCTGTGGGGGGCTGGTTTGCAAACACAGGTTGCATAGTCCACTTTTATTGCTTCTGGGGAAGGTTATCTGCAGTTGAGAGCAGAAATTCGTCTGGACAGCGTGTTCAGCCATGTAAGTCTCTGGAGCTGGGCTGAAGTGTTCCCACTGGTGTCTGGTGGCAGTGGCTCTGACATGGCTCTGCAGAGCTCAGGTCCCTTCTGTGTGTTGCTGACACTGTGCTGGAGAATCTCACCCAAGCGGGCAAAGCACATAAATGCATTTCTAATCCCTCTTCTTCTTCTTTCCCTGCAGCCAGGGGCAAACTTCAGCCTTGGTCACAAGGTGTCATTGCTGTGGTGGTGTTTCTGGTGCTGGTGGCAATCTGCTTCGTGGTCAACAGGTTCTGGTGCAAGAAGCAGCAGTGAGTGCTGGGGCCCTGGGAGTGCTTGGGGCTGTCCTGTCTGTTGGTGGATAAGGTGGCCAAGCAGTCACAGCACTGTGATGTGGACTCAACCCATGGGAGATGCAGTGTGGGGCCACTGCTCAGCTTGGCTGACCCTTGCCTGCCTGCTGGGCTATAGGACATGGTCTAGAAGCCCAGTGTTGATGAGGACAAGTGCTAGAGGTGCTTTCCCATGGGCTGAGATGTGCACACATGCACACAAACACTGTGTTGTGCCAGGGGAGGCACAGCCCTGCCTATCTTTCCCTGTCACTCCTGGCTGCGGGTGATCATTTTGCAACGGCGTACACAGAAGGCAACTGGAAAAACCAGTTAGCAGGAGAAAACAACCCTTTGTGTGTGTGGATGGATGAGCAGGAGCACCCTGCTGAGATGCCATCAGATCTTGCCAGGGTCACACGTTTCTGAGAGTCTCATTATCCCCATGGTGTCCCCTTCTCTCTGCTGCTCTCCCCTTACCCCTGCACAGCCCGCAGTGTTGGGATCTTTCCTCTCCCCTTCCAGGGATAATGTTGAGACAGTGGTGAGCATCGGGGCCAAGGATGAGGCTGTTGTGCCCAACGGACGTGAAGGGACATACGTGACCTCTGCAGTGGACTTCAGGTGAAGCATCCCTCCCTGTGACCCTCAGGCTCAGCAGTCATGTCCTGTTCTGTCCTCTGGCAGGTGTTGGGACACGATGACAGCTTGTGCTTCTCCCTCCGACAGGTCCAAGGAGAACAAGCACGCCTATGAAAACACTTTGGATCTAGAGGAGAAGGTGATCACCACTGCCATGTAGCACCAGCTGGTGGCGGGACCCTCTGCACTGACATCCCCATGCATGGCAGCTCCTCTGTCCCAGGCCTTCAGACTTCTGTCCCTCTGTTAGACCCTAGGAGAGGTCTGGGGCTGTCACCTCCCCAATCCTTTGGCCACCCCCCCACCTTTTCAGCTCAGCTGATGTCCCCCACCCCCTGGACCAGGGGATGCTGACCCACTCCAGATGCTGCTGCATGCATGGGACCCCATGTTCCCTCCCCAAATCCTTTCCCCTCTGGGAAACTGCCAATGGAGAACCCACTCTCATGTCAACATCTCATCCTCCTTTTTATGAACAAAGGCTCCATGCCATGCATTTCAAACTCAGAACAAATCTCCTCCCCTGTACATATCTTCTCTGCCAGCAATAAAGAGAATTGCTGTCCATCCAGGCTCATTCTGCTGGTGATCCATAGGATTCTCCAGCATCTCATGACACTCCCAGTCCTCAGGCACTTCAGAGAGGGTGGGACAGTATGGAGAAGGATGCTCAGAGAGGGGTCAACACCTCATGGGTGGGATCCATTGCTTATTTCCTAGCTTAGATTTCGTTAGCATCAGGGGATGTAGCTTGAGATACCATGTACAAGTTGTGACCTGGTGTCACCGACTGTTGCAAGCTCCTTTTCTGCAGCCACGGCTTCTGTAGGTGATGCTGCTGATGTTCCTGATGGGTGGGGACAGAAATTCAGGTGTGGCGCAAAACGGGAGTGTCTCCATGCCAGATATCTCCCCATTAAGGTAAACATCATGGAGCCAATGCTGAGAAATCACAACTGGCATCAGGGAAATTGAACGGGGTGGAAGATGGGGCAGAAGGTTCAGAAGGGCTGAGCCCTGTGGTGCAGTTCTCCTTTTGCAGATGGAGGCTGCGTTGTGCTAGAAGTGCTTTTGTGACTGCAGGGCTGCAGCAGGATCTGGGTGCTGCTCTGAAATGAGCATCACTGACACTGCCTCATGCCCAGGTAATTTCGGGGCGTATGGCCATAGGGATGGGAAGGAGTCCCCTCCCCAACCCCCCCTGCTCACCTCCTGGCTTTTCTCTGGTGGCTGCCACACTGCACAGCTCTGACAAACAAGCTTCCCAGATCTTCCTGGTAATGATTTGCTTAGCAGAATGTACAAGGATTACTCATTTTTCAGCCTGCTGTGTCAGCACTCTGGCTCGTGGCTTGAGGAGTGGCAAAAAGATTGGAACCCATTAATTTTTTACCTCTCAGTTGCAAAAGAAGTTACAAAACAGCGGCCTTATAATGAGTAACAAGTTGTCCCCGACCGCATGCACGCCCTGGGTGAGCCATGATGGGTTTGGGATGGGCAGTGGTGGCAGGTGGATGGTTGGATTAAATGATCTTAGAGGTCTTTTCTGACCTTAATGATTCTATGACGCAGGGTTGCTCAGTGTGTGGCATCCCATTTCTGAGGAGGGCAGATGTAGGTCTGGACAAGGGCAGGGATGGGGATTTTAGGATGAACCCAGGCGGTCTCTAACAAACAAAACGGAGCAAGCATAAATGAAATTTATTGTTGGAAAATCTTAATTAGACTTTAAGCCCCAAAGGGAGAAAAGTGAGGTATTATCTGACGCAGCTAATGAGTGTTAAGGGTCTATTGTTGTCTTTCTTGTTTACCTTTCTGTGCTGGTTGATATGGCCTGGATCCTCACCTGCGTTGCCATAATTAGGATATCTCATCTCCCACTGATAGGGCTGGGGATGCTGTTTGTAGCACAATGCTGCACCATCCCTTCCTGGTGGAAGAGCATGGTGAGGAAGACAGTGTCCTGGCACCCACTGCACTCCCCATGAGCTGGGGGATGCCCTAGGGTGCCCTGCAGTACCTGAAACCTTAGGATCATCAAATCATAGAATGGCTTGGGTTGGAAGGGACCTCAATGATTATCTATTACCAATCTCCTGCCATGGGCAGTTGCCAACCATTAAAATCACCTGCTGGCCCCAGGTGATACCACTAACAAAGGCATGTTAATTCTGCCTTACCCTGAGGATATGTGAATTATTCCAGGTGGTTATTCCATTATTCCATTATTCCATTCCATTATTCCAGCAACTGAGGGGTTGCTGTGTAGGGTTGAAGTGTTGCAGAATAGGAGGTTTGTTCCACCCTTGCCCCACGCAGTGCAGCCTTGGCTTGTTGTCTTGGTGCTGGGCTCCTCAGCATCCAAGCAGTGGGATTTGGACCTGCAGAGCACAAAGGGAGGTTTGGCACCACTATGGGAGTGAGTAACAGTGCTAGAACACATGGAGGGGGCTATCACAGCCCCTTGGGGTGCTGCCTGGTGGCATCGGTGCAAATGGGAGCAGGGCATGTGAGATAGATGCGTGTGGGCAATGGGGCCACAAAGTTTTTGGTCTTGATTCAAGGTACTGAGAGCCAGGAGTAAAATACCATCCATTGTTGATTCATACACCCTTAGTAGCTCAACAAACATCCCTGGAGCCGGTCCTTATCACTTTATTACACCTGCTAGAGTGAATAGATTAAAGAGGACAGGGGAGGGGGGAGAAAGCAGAAGAATCCAGGAGAAAAAAAAAAAAAAAAAAAAAAAAAAAAAAACAACCAGGTTTGGGGATTGTTAATTATTCTCTGGGGTCTCTAATCTTTAACTGGCAAACAGCATCGCTAACTGTCTTAAAGCCCCTCCTGGAACATCCTGATAATAAGCCATCTGCATGAAGGCACCCCGTTATCTGCCCTCCTCCAGCCGTCTGTGACATGGCTGGAGTGGGAGATAATGGATGTGTGCCGTGTAATAACGACACGTCATTCATGATTATCGGCCTGATACCCAACCTTTTAGCTCCATTGTTTGTGCATTGAAAAAAAAATTAAATAAATAAATAAAGGAAAAAAAGGGAAGGGGAGGGAGGGAAAGATGGGGGGGAAAAGGAGGATTTTTGGTGCTGTGTGTACAGACTAATGCATCTCCCTGCTAAAGAGGCTGGCTCTGGTGGCATCTCCCTGAGGGGCTGTGGTACCCGGTAAGGAATCGCCCATCCGGATGCTGTATCCATGGTGATGGATGGAGAGAGAGGAGGCAGCACAGAATTGTCACTGCCTGGCAGGATGTTTGGGGAGATGAGGTCTCCAGCACTCTCTCTTCGTGCTGCTTTTGCAGTGGTGTCAGTGGAGGGGGTTGTGTTGCGCAGCCTTTTTACAGGGAAGATGTCTGATGGAGGTGGCAGAGCAGAAAGACCAAATCGTTCCCTGCACCTAAGAGCTCAGCCCCTCGAGGATGTGGGATTTTATTCTTTCAAAGCTGGGGGGAGGAGGAGAGCTGGGGCAGATCTCTGAGATCAGCGTGAGCCCATGGGTGCTGCAAGGGTGACGGCATCAGCACTTCTCTTTCACTTGCATCAGCGTGCAGCCCCTGTGCCTTATTCTCGATGCTCGCTGTGTCGGGAACAGGCAATGACTCGTCTTCCTGACCCTAACAACTCTGCCGCGAGCCCATAGGCAGTACCGGGCTGTGCTGCACTCAGAGCCAGAAGGGCAGATTTGGACTTTTCCCGGTTCTCTCAGTGCCACCCAGCGGAGCTGCGCGGACCTGCAAGCTGAGCTGGTGAAAAGGGGGGTCCCACAGCCGCCCCCCCCCCCGGCCCCCAACCTCACAGGGTGAGCATAGAGAACCTCCCCGTGCCCTCCCCTAAACCCCTCCAGCACCGCTCTCTGATGGTGGTTTTTTGCCTTTCACTCGGGTACTGAGTGCTCAGTTCTCAGCCCGTACAGGAAAAGTCTTGGGACAAACCCATGCTTTGTTTCTGCCCGTGGATTTTTGTCATTGCCACCGCTGCTTTTGTTCTGCTGCTTTAAAGGCAGCTTGCTGCGGTTATTTCCTTACCACAGAAATGCTAACATGGTGCAAGGCAAGGGCCTGGTGTCCTGTAGCACGGAAGGGCTGTGAGCTCTCTTCTCAGGGGATAAAATTCCTTCAGTAGTATTTGTGGCTTGGGGAAATGCAATGCCAGGGCTGCACCCTCTTGCACTGCAGAGCAATGGGTGCAGCTCATTCTCAATGAGGCTCAATTGGCCTCTTCCTCTCCTACTGACTGTAGGTGCAAAAGCATCCAGGGACATGCTCCCAGACCACCTCGGCAAGGCTTTATTCACAATTTAGAGGATGAAGGTCATGTGGTGCTGAGGGCTTTCTCCAGGCTACTCAGTGACTAAGCACCCTCAGCTCCAGGAAGTTGAGTGTCAGGTTGGGAAAACCTGCTGGTCTTCACTTCTGTAATGCCAGACACAATGCCAGCCTGCAGCTCACCAAGGCAGGGCTCTTCCCTGAGCTTAACGTGGAGGTGCTCAGATAGAAATCCCATCAGGACAGGCTAGAGATGAGGAGAATGCAGAAGATCCCTGCTAACCCTCCAAAAAACCTCAGCTGTGCTTTTCCTTCTGCAAGGAGGGGACTTGAAGCTGCTGGGCATAATGGGCTCAGTGCAGGGTTAGTGTGGATGAAATATAAGGTGGATCTGGTGGGTATAGCCCTCCCCAGCCCTGGCATTCAGGAAGGTTGCAGGTTGGCGACTCTGAGAGGAGAGTGGTCTTTGGGAACTGCTTGTGCCACCTCATAAGGTCAGCAAATCTTTTTCAAATGCAGGTGGATGCCGCTGCTGGACTTGAGGATGAGCTGCTGTGTCAGGGTAGGAGGCTTGCAGGCATTAGGGAACAGCTCGAAGCGGAGCAGGGTCAGTGCCAGAGCCACCTTTATCTCGTTCATAGCAAACTGCTGCCCAATGCAGTTCCTGGGGAGAGGACAAAGGTTCAGATTGAAGCCTGCAAGTTATGAGATTTGCATCCACAGTGCCTTGGGTGTGGGAAGTGCTCTAGAACTGGCAAAGCTCAGTAGAGATTCCACCATGGAGACTTCTTGAGATGGCCCAGCCAATTTGACCCAGGGGTGCTGAGGGGATTAGGCTCAGGAGCACAACCCCATGCACCCATGAGGAGGGAAAGGGATGAAGGATTTGTTACCTGGGTCCTGCAGAGAAAGGCAGGAAAGCGTGCGAATGCCTGTGTGCTGAGTTCTCAGGAGAAAACCTCAGGGGATCAAATACCTGCGGGAGGAACAAAGGCCATTTGGTCAGCATTGGCCTAACCATGAGTGGCACCAGGTTCTCTGGTGCCCAAGGTAGGGCTGGAATGGCCTTTGCTGCTCCAGGAGAGCTGCAGCTGACATTCATTCATTCCTCTGCAAAGCCACTGGATGGATGAAAAGAGGGTGCTGGTGGCTTTGCTGATGTTCCCCTTGGAGATATCTCATCAGAGCTGCTGAAGGCAGGAAGAGTAGCTCTATTTCCCCTTGCATAAAGGCAAGCTATTGTATACCTTTTTCAAAGCCTTTGGGGTGTTTGGTAACATCACTG